ACAAGATATTTAACACATGTTCCATGTTGCTAAACTACTTTCATCAAAAGTTTATAACATCTAAAACATACATATTCATCTCCTATTTCAACATTAGAAAGTAAACTCATCTTCTACCTCTAGCATTTTACTCGTTTTCCCCTTTTACCACATTTTCACGGTTTTGGGGTTTTTATGAATCAACCCACAAATCCATTCTATTCTTGAAACACCAACTCTAAACCAAGAGTTACAAGAGAGAAACAACATAAAACGAACCATAACTCAAAAGGATGAGTTTCCATGGTTTTTCACCTTTCGAGAAGAGATCCTTTACACTCCACAATGAGTTTGAAAGAGAGAAAGAGAGTTAGAATCAAGAGATTCACCTCTTCTCGAACTTCTAAATGACTCACAAGCCTTCTTGCTCTTGAAAATGCTCCCTTTTCTCACTTCTCTCTAGGTTAACCCCCATAAATGTGTTTGGGGTCCCCTATTTAATGTAACAGCGTCGGGTTCTCGCTTAAGCGAGCCCTTTCTCGCTCAAGCGAGAAAATCCCGCCTATTTTAAAAACTCAGATCTGACCCTCTCGCTCAAGCGAGGGATTCTCGCTCAAGCGAGGGATTCTCGCTCAAGCGAGAATCTCACAGTCTCAACAGTCCCAAAATGCCATTTCTCGCCCACGCGAGACAACTCTTGATCAGGCGAGAATCCTCCAGTATAGCCCAGGATTTCACCCTCCCATGTGAGCCTTTCTCGCCAAGGCGAGAATCTCTCACTCAAGCGAGACTTCCAGGACTGATACTATAATTTTAAAGACCTAAATTTAGGATGTTACAGTTGGTGACAAAATGAATAATAACGAAGCAGAAAAAGTGAATCACCTCCTCAATATTGTTCCATCTTGAAATGTTAGCTTGTAAGGATGATTACAAAATCGATATTCCCCATCATTGAGCACAACATCAAAGTTTTCAGCAATATAGTTATAACTCTCTTTTAGTTTATTTTGCAATTGTGGAATATAAATCTCATTCACAACAACCTCAATTTTATTCCCCTGTTACATAAACATATAATATGATCGATCAAATGAAAATCATATTATGAAAAAAAATTAAATAAATAACTAAAGCACTTCTGGATCAATGAAAATCATCAAAAAGGAAGGATCTCCACATATTTCACCCCGCAAAAGAGTTGAAATTTTCACTTTAAGCTTACATGATGTATTCTTAGAAAATAGACTAATATCTTTAATGAAATTTATTCATTCAATGATGTAACTACAATGAATTTCAATCCTTCCATGGCTAAATATATAGACTCAAAGAATTCTGGGGAAATGATATCTTTATTGAAATCATTGGCAGGTGTGCGAAAGCCACATCACGAAGCAAAACAATTCAGGGGAACGAACACACTTTAATACATGAGAGAATGTTGTTTAGAAATTGAAAATTTTTAAAATCATATCAAATCAACAGTGCACATTTAAGAAAGCGTTGTATACGATATCAAATTAACATCCATATTGAAGCGTTGTTAAAGAGAACGAATTCAAGCCAATGCTTATTCCACATCGCACATTCACAGATGGTTGTTGAGTTTATATCAGCTTATCAATATTAACAACGCTCGCTTAACCAGACGTTGTTTATGTTCCTCTACCTCGTATTTAACAGCATAGTTCTAGGAAGCGTTGTTGAAGGACCGTCGTTGTAAGAACCCAAATTCTACCCTTGAAATTTTTTTCTCATTTTAATTCAATTCCATGCAATTACTCATAACTCACATTACCAAATTAATACCCTTACTTCAAAACCTTATTTCCCTCCTCACACTCAACGCATGAATCAATAATGACGTACATAATCATTTGACAGAAAAACATAATTCGTATTAATGCAAATTAGTAATCACCGCATATAACTAGCTATGGGTTTCCAAAATACCTATAGCTACACATATCCAGAGTTACACCCTCATGTTAGCAAATATATATCCATAGTTACATAATGTCTTAAACTATCAACTATGCACTCATATACAAGATAGTGCAATTGAATAAATCCAAAATATAATTCTCCCTAAGCTCCCCAAAAATGAGTCTCTCTCATGTCACATGTTTATCTGCAATGGGATTATCAATGACAAGTACACAAACATACAAAGGAGTAAGTCGTTAATTCAATAAACATCATTATAAGATAATCCACATTAGAAAAGGGTTAGTAATCCATTTTTGAAATTCATTTTACTTTGCTGCATAACTTGAGCCAAAGTCGCTACACCCCTCGGGGTTAGCTAAAAGCAGATTCTCATTTCTTTTAGAAGAAAACATGCTACATATACTCGTGCCGGAGTTTTTCTTATATACTCAAGCCAGAGTTTTGCTTATATACTCAAGCCAGAGTTTCGCTTATATACTCAAGCTAGAGTTTCGCTTATATACTCAAGCCAGAGTTTCGCTTATATACTCAAGCCAGAGTTTTGCTTATATACTCAAGCCAGAGTCGCTAACCATTCATGGTCGGCTAAAAATATATTTCCTTTTCATCGAATTCACCATCAATCATTTCCTGTAAATCCACGCCATCTTTAGTATAAACACACCCATATATGTTTATACTAAATACGTGATTCACAATATAATTATTGCATGACTAGAAAATACACACATTTTCCATCTTTCATAAATCTACGCCTACTTTAGTATAAACACACCCATATATGTTTATACTAAATGCGTAATTCACAACTCAATCATTGCATAACCAGAAAATACACATTTTCTATTCCAAATGCACAATTAAAGACTTATCCTTACCTCGGTGAGTGTTGGGTTTGGTTCTTGGCAACTTCACAAGTTCCACCGACACCGCCGCCAACTCTAGGATCTTTTATCATTCCCACCATATAACACAATGTTAGTCATTTTTTCCAAATATCACATAAACAACTTATATAGCATTATTTAACCATACAAGATATTTCATCATATTTTCAATGTTGTTAAACTACTTTCATCATAAGCTTACAACCATCCAAAACATACATAATCATCTCCTACCTCTAGCATTTTACCCATTTCAACCACATTTCTCTTTAGGGTTTTAGGGTTTTCATGAATCAACCCATAACCCTATCCATTCTTGAAATACTAACTCTAAACAAAGAGTTGTAAGAGAGAAACAACATAAAACGAACCATAACTCAAAAGGATGAGTTTCCATGGTTTCCTTCATTTTTTAGAAGAGATCCAACATACCAAAAATAGGTTTTAAAGAGAAGAAGAGAGTTAGAATCAAGAGTTTTACCTCTTCTCAAGCTCTTAGATGAGTATCCAAGCTTCTTGTCCTTGAAAAAACTATTTTCTCTCACCCTTCTTCTTTTCTAAACCCTAGGTTGTGTTTGGGGGTTTCTCATTTAATACAACTCGTCGGGTTCTCGCTTAAGTGAGCCCTGTCTCGCTCAAGCGAGAAAATCCCGCCTATTTTTAAAACTCAGATCTGACCCTCTCGCTCAAGCGAGGGATTCTCGCTCAAGCGAGAATCTCACAGTATCAACAATCCCAAAATGCCATTTCTCGCCCAGGCGAAACAACTCTCGCTCAGGCGAGAATCTTCCAGTATAGCCCAGGATTTCACCCTCCCATGTGAGCATTTCTCGCCCAGACGAGAATCTCTCTCTCAAGCGAGAATTCCAGGACTGATACTATAATTTTAAAGACTCAAATTTAGGGTGTTACAGTCGTTGAAGACGATTCCTAGTGTTGTGAATATCATTTAAATCAATCATACAGGAATTATGAATTCTAAGACCTACAAACTTAATTTCATCATAATCACACATGAATTGTAGTAAAAAAATTCATTTTCCTTTATCATAAAGTTGACTAATGCTTAAGAGACTATGTTCGAAACCTTCATCATATAAAACATTTTCATTTTGGAAGTTAGAAGGTTACCAATTTTGCCGTCTACAAGTATTTTACCCTTGTTGGAGTCTTCATATGTAACATGACTTTTTTATTTGGGAGACAATTCAACAAACTGTCTACAATCCCTAGTCATATGTCTTAAGATCCACTATTTGAATACTAATAAGCTCTTTGGGTCTTAAGACATACCTACAATAGAGAATTAATTGGAGGAGTTAGGTATCCAAATTGTCTTGGATCTTTTAACACCAACATGAATGATGAAATTAATTGAGATTTTGTCCCTTAACAATCCAAATATTGCCATATTTTTTAACACCATAATTTCTAATATGATACTAGTTGGATGTTGTCCATGAATGCCATAATAGAACAAATATGAGATGAATTATAAGATTTCTAAGAATGCACTAGTTTTCTCATCTGACACATTTTTGTGATTGCGAGTGCGTTGTGTGTTATAACAAGTCATATTTATTGCTACCACTTAATTGACTTCAAAACAATTTATTCAAATTATTATTTCCTATTGAGAACTTTGCAAGAGACTTCAAAACAATTATTATTGTGTTCTGTGTTATAACAAGTCATATCACAAGGAATGCTAACAACTCCTTTTAATGCACAATTAGATATAGAATAGGATAGATAAGTGTGAACACCACATTTTATTCGGCCCATAAAAGCTAAAAATATTAATAATAAAAAAAACAAAAATGAACCCTTCAAAAAGAATTTAGACTTGATGATGTTCTAAGATTTTAATCTACTATTAGTTTGTTGTGTGGTGATAATTAATGTCAATGGATGCATTCACTTTCATATTATTAAAACATCAAATCTCAACTAGGGAAACATTATTCATGATATAATCATAAGAAACCCACACGTGGAATGGTATGGAGCAAATAGCTATGGTTAGTTTTTTGTATAATGGCAAGTCACTCCCACTAACCATAGGAAGTGGATGGTTGCCTTATTTTTAGGAGAATGCAGTTTTCTCCCTTGGCTTTAAAATACATAGTGATTCACGCAAAGAGGTAGGGAAAACTGCACATTCTCCTCCCCTCATATTCGGTTCCTTCTCCGGCCCACAACCTTTTCTTTTCTTTTGCAACAAAAACAGCACAAATCCAAAATAAAAGAGAGATATATGGTAGAAGAGGATGACAATAAAAAGGATGCTGAAACAAAAGAAGAAAAGTGAAGGGAGAGTCCACAAATTAAAGTAACAACAGAGTAATTTTATTCACTTTCGGTTCCAAGGTTCACAAGCTTTCTAGGACACACTAGCATACAAAGATTGGAGGAATAAGAAGTAATTACAAAAGATTGAGAACAACAAATTCCGCAGTAAGTAAAGCTAAGGCATGAGACTCAACCAACAATGGCAATGGGGGAATGAGTCATAGACAGGGGACATGAATTCATATTCTACAAAGACGTGATCATGGAGATTATTGCTAAGGCGTGGTGCAACAAGATAGCATGACTATAATGTCATGGGTTTGGGTCTGGATGTGCAGCTATACCAATTCTTCTTGCATCTACACCATGACAGTTTAAACACGGAGATTCAAATATCAAGAATTGAGGAAGCCATTACCTTTACGCCAAAGATTTATCCACATGTGAATTCATTCATCTCTATAGGTAAAAGTATCTCACCTATGTTTATTTCTTTATTATTAGTAATTATATTACCTTTACTTTCTTTGTAGTAGTTGAAAAATCAAAACAAAAAGTACAGTGACGTTTTTTTTAATATGGGACGTCGACTGTTTGGATTTTAAAATAGGTATTAAGTTTTTTTTATAATAATAATAATAATTTTCACCAATGGATAATTTTATATGACTTTATTGTAACTACATATCAAATATATATAATTTTGGGGTTAATCAAAGATGGAGGAGGGTTGTGGAAACGCTTCTCGTCCTCAAATCATCTTCGAATGGTTGCGCCACGTCGCTTCTCTTCACTCGATTAATTCTCAAAATTGATAAGAAATACATATTTTAACAATAATAAAAAATCATTTTTTCACTAATAAATAAATAAATAAAGGTCAATATCTTTTTCTACAAAAATAACGAATCATCAAACAATATCAAGGATGTATGAATGGTTGCCTCTGAGGGTTTCTTTTCCTTGACTCATCCTTTGGACGGTTGCGTTACGCCGCTTCTTTCCTAATTAATATACAACCAACAATCATTTTTAAACTAAAGAACTACGTAGCCTTGATTCCATTCATAGGGATACGTAGAAGCAAGATCTTATCTTGTCAGGCACAACAACAAAATAAATAAAATATGTCCATAGAAATAATTAATTAAATAACTCAAATAATATTAAAGTATAATATAAGCCATTTAAAGCGGACAGATATGGTGCAAATACTTTCCCTACTCCGTAACCGACTCCCAAACCTGGATATCAAAAATCCAAAACCCAATGTAATTGGGGTAAAAGATTTTTCTACATTTTTTACCATAAAATGTAGTGACGACTCTAACAAAGTCGTGCAGCCGAAAATCGGGGCGTGACTACTGGCGACTCTGCTGGGGACTTTTTTTAGAGAGTCTGGCCCATAACCACTATATTATATGACTAATTATACTTTTAATTATTTGATTATTTAAATTTCTTGCAAAAAAAAAAAACATATATCGATTGTTTATTGTTATTAAATATTGTATATTGGTTTATTTTAACTTATGATATGTGTTGTGGTTGAAGTTACATGTTTGTTTCCTTAAGAGTATAGTACACAAGTTTTGACACACACATATGTCCTACACCCGGGTATTAGTGATATATTTTTGGATAGTAGGGACACTAGCCTCGCTGGTCATGGCCTTTGTCATTTCTGGTGTTGGTGATTTGGACCACTCATATTGTTACCAAGTATTATGAGTTAGAGACTTGAGCTTGGCTCTTATTTCTAACCCCATAATATTTGGGTTTCTCTTCTTTGAAGAGATGCAATATGGGCACCTTATAGGAAGTCTAAGGCTTGTTAAGGTTTACACTTTACCTTAGAACTCTACACTAGGATGTTGTTCCTTAGATATTGCAAAAACCCTTATAGGTGTACCCATTATGAATCTTGAGAAACATGTATCATACCATATCATGCATAACTTCGGACTCTGGTCCTAAAAATAAAAAATCATATGTCATAAATGGTGTGAGATCTCATCTTGCAACATAGACTTTTGTATAATAAACCTTGAGGGGAGTTCCTATTCCCCAAAAAGGGATTATCGTTACAAATAGGGAATCAATCTTTGCTCTATTTCAGCCTGAATGATAAGAACAAATAATCTTTTATAAAGTTACATATTAATCATAATGATGGCTAAGTTACCCCAAGATAGGGTCTATTACCCTAAGGGGCTTGCATTTTGAATTTTGAATTTCCACACATTACATTTATGCATGCATTAATTCGAAAACAAAAAAAATACATACTCAAACATTCATTCATCCATTACATTCAAAAATAAAAATCTTCATTGATTGACTTATGTATTCATTCATTGCATTTAAAACTAAAATTCTTCATTAGTGAGCTTATGCATTTATTCACTCATTAATTCAATTATCCGTTCATTTATGCATTCAATAATAAAATCTTTATTGATTGACTTATGCATTCGAAATAAAAATCTTCATTGATTGACTTAAGCATTCATTCATGCATTCAAAAAACAAATTCTCTATTGATTGACTTATGCATTCATTCATTGCATTCGAAAATAAAAATCTACATTAATTGGCTTATGCATTCATTCATGCATTCAAAAAGAAAAATCTTCATTGATTGACTTATGCATTCATTCAGACATTCAAAGAGAAAATTCTTTGAAAACACATCCAACATACATCATTCATACATATATCAACTTATTCATCCAACGTGCATGCATACATTATTCATACACTATTCTACTCATTTATATATATATCCATTTATGCACACATGCATTTAAAAAAAAGAAAAAAAACATTATACATATCATTCTTCCACTTATTTATATATTCATTCACTCATACATGAAAAATATAATTCAAGCATTCATCCACTCATGCATATAAATCATTCAAACATTTATTCTCTCATTCATCCATTACATTATTCATTTATTCATGCATTCAAAATTAAAAAAAATCAATATACATTCATGAGCACTTAAAAATAAACATACATACACCAATTCATTCTCGCACTCTCATGCATTCATCCAAAGAATAATTTATTCATTCAAACATTACACTCCATGCATTATCATTCACTATATCATCTCATTAAGTGATATTGATATCCTTATTCATTATCATAAAAAGCAAAAAAGAAAACATTTTATACATCTTCTAATATATCATAGTCTTCATGCATTCAATGTCATACACATCATAAGTTGCATTTTCCGAGAGTCTCAAAGCACTAAAAAAATCTCATGCATTCCTTAGTTGCATCCATCGTATTTTCATGCATCATATATAAAAATTTGCATTCTCGTATCATTCATACATCCCAACATAAATCAAATGCATAGTATTAACGTTACTCATCTCATGCATCATTTTTAGTTATAAGTTGCATACCATTCAATGTAACATGATAAAAAATAATACATACAAATGTTCACTTCATGCATATCATGCATCCATAAAAATCAAAATTTTCTACATGCATCTCATGATCCTATTTCTAGGGACACTCAATTGATTGTAAAAACACTATTGTTGGACTCGACTGAAATGAATCATGATTGAAGATGAAGAAATCAAATAAATATGGAGAATTCCCAATTTGTAATCAATGTCAAATGAGCTAAATCGGTTATACAAGATGAGACACCTTCTCCTGCCCCAGCCCAACTGAAGGCCGATTTGAAAACCTCTTCACTAGAGGACCCCAGTCAAAGTCAATCTCTAATGCACTCATTCATATTTCGTGAGCTAATATTTATTTGCGAATATATTTTTAACAAGTACATACTAATGCATTGATCATGCAAATTTCAGAATCTCACACCTCACCCTACCAACCATATTAACCCCACTAACCATACTTACCAAAAACACAACAAAATTAATTCATGTATTACTATGAGATATTTTATTCAAAATAAAATGGAGGATGATGCAATTATAATACCTAAAATGATGTACATTTTCAGACAAATTTTTCTAATGACACAAGACATTCTTTGTAATTACCAAACACTATGAAGATATCCCTAGTCACCCCATTTGAGTCTAGACATCATGAAAGGAAATAATTTTTGGATAACCCTCAAATGTCAATAACTCAGGGAGGGTAGTTTTTCAACCGCTTTCCTTGTCATTCAATTATTAAATAAAAAATACAGTATCTCACAATCATCTTGTGACCAAGTGATAAGAGAATATAAGTAGCGTTCCCAGCTTAAAGAAAAAATAAAAAAAATTATACCAAAGGCCCATTGAGAATCTATAATTCATATCTCAAAAATTAGGGCAAAAGAAAAATGTCAAATCAATAACAAAAGGAACCCTTCTTCGAAATACTCTTGCCTAAAATTTTGGGTTATTATAATCACAATCTTGAAAGTTCACTTGATAGTTGAATGTCATGCTAGAAAACTGTTGAAAATAGGATACAGAAGAAAGGCGAAAGGTGGGTATGGGAAATACATGTTTTGAGCCTTATATCATTTCCTTGGAAACCCTTAGCCAAACCAGGATACAAGCTTAAAAAGACCTCGTTGAAGACTTATTTGTCTAAGATGCACATCATGTAAAAAAACCGCTCACTCCAAAAAATAATTTTTTATTATGAAATACCTCAAATTTAGTGCATGTGATTAAAATTTATTATCATCATTACCACTTAAACCTCAACACACAAATTAAATATCATTAACCACACTCAATGCCCAAACACAAGTCTTGTAACGACCCGAAATTCTACCCTTGAAAATTTTCCTTATTTATTTCAATTTCATACATTTAATAGTCAATCATAAATTACCGAGTGAATAAATTTACTTTAAAAGTCTCGCTTTTCACTCACACCCTATCTTTAAACCATAAGTAACATACAACATTTGATAGTAGAAAAACATAATTCATTAATGTAACCTAGTAACATCCGCATACAATTAGCTATGGGTTTCCAAAACACCCATAGCTACATATATCCCGAGTTACTAGTACCCATGATCAATATCATGTACAAAAATAATAATCATAGTATCATAAGTTACTTCAATTAAAATAAATTAAAATTACAAAAGAATGGATAAAGAGACGTCAAAACAAAAGTCCCTAATCTCCTACTCAAAATCATCCTTTTCCGTCCACCTACCTGCAATGGGATTAACATTTACCATGCACAAACAACACAAAGAAATAAGTCATTAATTCAATAAAACTCAATGTCAGTTAATCCACATTTAAATAGGTTTCAACAGTAATAAGATTTAAAAACTCTTAAAAACCTTTTTCATCATCTATACTTTTGAAAAACCATGCTACATAACTCGAGCTAGAGTCGCTAACCCATTCTGGTCGGCTAAAACGAGTTTTATTTTCATTGGCACTCCACCAATACATAAACCATAAATACACCCATCATCACTACAAACATACCCATATATATTTATAGTGACTAAGTGATTTATCATTTATGTCATTATAATTCGAGTCTTATTTCCATTGGTACTCCCCCAATAGGTTTCAAGTCTTATTTCCATTGGTA